AACTGTTTTCTCCAGTTTTTTTTATCATTTGATAAAGACTTTACCATTCAATCCTAATGTTGTTTATTTCATAAATTTTAAGCAAATCCTATAAGATATAAATAAGTTTTAGGTAGTACAACAATCAGGACACAGTCAACGTTTATCAGGTCAAGCCAAAAACAAAGATTTTTCCTGTTGTTTTTTTTTTAATAATATAAAATAACACAGAAAGTTTCATCGGTTAGGTAATTGCTGTTGTTGGTCAGGTCATTGTCAACGTTAGAATGGTCAATTTTTCTGAATTTTTTAATAATTTTTTCCTATATTTATATATCAAATGATAAAATTTTATTATTATTTAAAATTTAACATAAATCTTTTAAGAAATAAAAAAAGTTGTTAGCATTTTCATTTGGTCCAATCATTGTCAGCATTGGTCAGGTCAAGTTTTATGAAGATTTAAAAAAGTTTTCAATAATTTTCTTATATTTATGTATTACATGGTCTAAATTTATTACAATTCAAATTTGACATAAATCCTTTGAGAAATAAAAAAAGTTATTAGCATTTTCGTTTTGGTCCAGTCATTAGTGTAACCCACCAAAGATAATTCGTATTGTGAGGAATATTGCACGCTGATCATTTTTTAAAATTAATTTCACATGTTTCTAGGTAGATTCCTCATAACTTCTTTTGATTTATGATAAAAACAAGAATGAAATTAATTGTTTTTGTGTTTATTTTTAATAGATGTAGCCGCATAATTTTACAGCACTACACCAAATATTGTATTTTTCTCAAAAATCCCAACTTTCTCCGCTGTTACCATGGTAACCAACCAAAATATATATCGGTTGGCATTATTTTTCTGACTAGGCTAATATGATCTACATATCAGCCAATTTTCAGAAAGATCGGGGACTATGTGTGCCGAAAAAGTTTAAGTGGTTACAGAGAATGAGTGTTAAATATGTCAGTACCAATCACTGCATTACTACCTACCTAATGACACTCTCAGTGACTATGAATAGCAGACTACCAGCAGCGGTACCAAACCAGTGCTAGGAAATGAAATTAATTTTTATAAAATCAATGAGTAAATTAGGTTTATAACTTCCTCTAGCAAGTGTTACCTTATATGGATTCGACTATTCTTTTTGTGTCCCTTTCGGTCATAAAGCTAAAGCTCCGCGAGTAGTTATACATCCTTGGTTTTAAACATTTTGGGTGTGGATGTTTCTAACGGAGGTCAATCCAGAAAAATGGGACGTCCCTTTCTGCTGTACAAGGTGTATAAAGGGACAGTCACGTCCGGTCGGTTTTTTTACGTTGAACCACGTCATAAGGGGAACTTAGTTAGCCTGTCGCAATGCAAAATTTCGCATCCTATTTAAGACATCCTCATTTTCCGGTGTAGCCCAAAACTTCCCGTCTTTCATCTCGATCAACATTCCTTTCAGAACTAATCTGTTGTTTTAACTGTTCATTTGCACTCGTCCTGAATGTGTAGGAAAAATTTAACACCACTGAATGTTAAGCAAACAGCAGTTAAACAATCAGTTCCGTGGGTCCCAGTCTTCCAAAATTTGAAATGGAACATGATCTATATTTTGATAAATATAAGACAAAAGTTATAACTTTCGAAAGATTTTTCCAAATGCTTTGATACAACTTTAAGATATTTGCGATTTATATTACAAATACTGAAAAATATGTTCTCTATCTGACATTGGCAATGTGTTTTTAATAGCTCAAAAATACCGTATTGAAATATAAGGTTATGTTTATTCGCTAAGTTTAGAAGACAAAGACAATGTCCTCGAATTTGAAAATAACAATTGAAACAGCAGAGACTACCGTAGATGTACTATCAATACTTACTTCTTTAAAAGACAAAAAAGGAAAAATAAATAGAGCAAAGATCAGTGATTATGAGAAAGTGGGTTGATTTGACATTATTCATAGGACCTTCCAGTTAAAGACCTTAAACTACAAAAAAAATAAGGAAAGTTGCATCTTTGGCAATATTAAGACATGAAAAAGATATTTTTGCTTTCAATTGTAATAATTTATCAACTTTTTACCTTTACAGAATTGGTTAAATTAGCATTGCCTTTTTTCTAGGGGTGTGAATAAAGCATAGGCTATAAGGATATGTGTATCGTGGTGTATGGAACGACATCACTGCCTTATAAGAAGAAACTACTACGACATGTCAAAACAATTCTACTTCTTATGAATTCTCCATTACTTCATCTGAAATCTTAATCATTTGGTATGAAAACACTATTTCATGATGTGAATACTTCATTACATGATATGAATTCTTCATTACATGATTTGGTTACTTCGTTACATAATGTGAAAACTTCATTACGTGATTTAATAACTTCATATCGTGATCTGATTACATCATCACGTGATGTTGTTACTTCATTATGTGATGTGGTTTACAGTGACCTACTTTTACTTGTACGCTGACATTCTATCCCTGATGCATCTGTATAGTTGCTGAGATTTGAACATGGACGTTTAACTTAACCAAAGGCGCCGAAGCATAAAATGTTGATCACAGTGACCTAATTTCATTTAGATGCTGACCAACTATCCCTGATACATCTGTACACAAGGTTAAATGATCCTACATGTATATAGCTGACAATCGAAATAAAAACAGATCTCTCATTGCTCCCGTTTCCTGATATGTCGCGTGAGAGAGTTAACACAACCTGGTTGGACGTCATATGTGAGTAGCATGGAACTTATGAATTTATGACGATATACAAATGAGTCGACCTCGGATCGATAAGCCAACCAAACACGTCCTCTGTTTTTGACGACTGACAATTTCTTCTTTAGAAAAAGGAGTAACATTCCTTAACTATTCGATAAACTTTCAAGATCGTGAAAGCCGTAAATTCATTGGCCGAAGAGGACACACCTACAAGGTCAGTTTGGAATTATATAGAGTTGCTTGAATATGAAATCATGATCATATCATGTATTGTTTCTGAGATATGAACTCTGACGTTAATTTTAACCAAAGGCACTTATCATGAAATGTAGTTCAAAGTGACCTAGTTTTACTTGGATGATGATCTACTATCCCTGATGCATCTGTATACAGGGTTACATGAGCCTTCCATGTATAGGTTGAGATATGAACTGAACAGATGCACCAGGGATAGTAGGTCAGCAACGAATCAAAAATAAGTCAGGCCATGATTTACATTTCACGCTTTATCGCCATTGGTTGCAAGATTACACGATCCTACCATGTATAGTTGCTGAGATATTCAAAACTTGGACGTAAAACTTCACAAGGGGACGCGGACGCGTACGCGCGCATAGACACCGAGGATACTCCAATAGTTCTTCTCAACTTCGTTGAGGTTAACTGAAAACTTATTCTAAAACCCGCTGTTAAGAAAAGGTTTAGTCATCAAACCCGTTACTAAGCGGAAACTTCTTAAAAAAATATTAAAAGGTTAAATAAAGTACGAAGTTGTAGAACATCTAGGTCCACAAATCAAGAGAGGTTTTGCCAAATACAGCTAATTTAATCATTTCCTGGGGTAGACAATCGATACATCCAAAGTTTTGTAAATAGTTAATTTATAATTATGACAATATCAATGATTAATTCGTGTCAACACAGCCTATATGATATTAGTTTTTTTATGACTGATTTGACATAAATGAGGCCGTTAGATTATTACCTACTTAATAAGTACTCTTCATAACGTAATATCTTCAATATTTGACAGGTTCCTTAACCTCATTCTAAATACACATCTCGATTATTTTCGCTTTATAAATGGAACAGTTGGTAAGACTCATGAAATAAGTTTAAAAGCAAATTCATAGGAGAAACTTCAATATGTTAAGTTGCATAATTCAGATGTATTAGAATTTTGTATGTCACGGTTGGGTTTTAAATGATCGGCGCTGAGCGTTCCTGATGAAGAAAGAAAAAGCGCTTCGGACGCGTGAACGTTACATACAGATGTATTAGAATTTTTTATGTTACGGTTGGGTTTCAAATGTTTAGCGTTCCTGATGAAGAAAGAAAAAGCCTTTCGAACGAGTGAAATTTATAAAGAGTTGTTTTCATTTGTTTTTTAATATTTCAGTAGAGTCACAACATCATACAACAAAGTCTGTGGACAATTTGTGACTGCTTTGTCAGATGGCATAAACATATAACGCTTATACTGGTTCTTAGACTGGCAATCTCTAATAATTAACAACTCTTTTTTGTGAAAATAGTAAAAAAAGAAAACTTTCGGTTCATTCCTAGAAGAAATCATGATCTTTTGTTCATGGGCAGTGATAAGATCTCTGGTAACACCAAAACCACAAGGACCATATCTTAAACTCGAGTTTTCACATTTGTTAGATTTAAAAGATATAGGAAGATGTGGTATGAGTGCCAATGAGACAACTCTCCATCCATTAAGATTTGATATACCGTCTCGAAGTAAAATAAAACAAGGAGATGTGGTATGATGTCTAATAAGATAACTATACAACAGATTCAAATTGACGTGGATTTATTTAGGAACTATAGGTCACCATACGGCTTTCAACAATGAGCTAAACTTAAACCGTACATTCAGCTGTAAAGGGTCCCAACATGACGAAATTTGGAAGAATAAGAATACATAAAATAGAAATTGATCTAAATACGACCAAAAGCTAAGACAGCTAATTATAAGAAGATTACACATAACATGAATAGATATTAGAAGATGTGGTATGAGTGCCAATAAGACAGCTCTCTATACAAGTCAAAATGAAGTTTATAATTTATTTGACGACATAGGAGAAAATACAAATATAATTACTAAAAAGAATACACATATCTATTACTTAATAAATCATTTTTTATCATAGAAGAAAATACAAATATGATTACGAAGAATGTTACACAAAACATCTACTCTGTAATGTGGTTGAATACACTGAGAAAATTCAAATAAAATCACTAAGAATGTTACACAAAACATCTACTTTATAATGCAGTTGATTACACTAGAGAAAATACAAATAAAATCACTAAGAATGTTACACATAACATCTACTTTTTAATGCAGTTTATTACATTAGAGAAAATACAAATAAAATCACTTAGAATGTTACACATAACATCTACTTTACAATGTGGTTGATAACACTGAGAAAATACAAATTAAATCACTCTAAATGTTAAACAAAACATTTACTTTATACTTCATTTGATGACATAGGAGAGAAAAAATATAATCACTACAGTTCATTTAGAAGTCGTAATCATGCACTTGCTATCTTTTAATTTTTCACTGTGTTCAACGGCTCCTGGAATATAAAGTTTAAAAATGACAGAAAAAGAAATGCATCCCATTGTCTTTCAAGTCTAAATTAGTTTAATTGTGAATGTTTACATGTATTACAAAACGAGATGCTTGAGTTTTTGGCATGAAGCAAGCTGTGTACATGTATTCGCTCCTTAAGAAAGAATTTACTTGACGTTATTACTAATTACAAGTAATATTTATTTTCTGTCACCAATCATGGTTTTCAATTTATCTATGACATTTACCAATTCATTAAACCATTTGACTTTGTATTTCGTCATAATCGACATGCACAATACTATCTATGATAGTACTAATTCATTAAACCATTTGAATTAGTATTTCATCATAATCGACCTGCACATAACTAGTGTCGTTGCACTGATAATATAAATACAACTTTTTATACGCATTTGAAATACAGAAAAAGCTGAATTGGACGAGAGTTTAGTTGCTAAGTAATAAGTTTGTCAATATGGTCCATATTATTGCCCCGACTTATTCTAGTGTACTTATAATTATATAAAAAAAGATTTATATAGCCATCGTAATAATATTTTAAAATAGAAATAAAATAGAGTGGAATTTCCGTATAGTTTGTATAACTATCATAGTTTCTTACACAATAACTTAAGGTCAAGGAACTGTAAATTAGTTATGGCACAGATTGTTAATAACATTTTGCACACAACTTTGACTTTACCAAATTTAAAAACTGATTGCTGATAAAAATTATCGAAAAACACATATCTAATGACGGATTCTTATTCTAGTTTCAAAACTGCAGACACTTACCATAACGACACACCCGGTATCGCACTTTTTGGAGTCCATGCGATTTTTGACATATTGTGGGAAAATACAATTTTTGTTGGATACCTTGATTTGCTTCTAAATCGATTTATAAGATTTGAACATCGATAAACTGCTGCTGTCTATGTAAACAGAACGAACGAGATATGATATAGTAATTATGTTGTCCCTTGAATTATTATATAAAAACATTCTTCAATCGTTTCAAGATTATGTTTTTAATGATATTGATAACTACTGTGCATAATATAATGCAGGAAGGACAGTTACTATGGTTCCAGAAACATGTCGAAATTTTAAATTCTACTTATAATAGTCCTTTGGCACAACAATTTTTGGCATTAAGTATGAGACACACTTCCCATCAACCAATATTTTACTCACAGCAACATCTTTGTTTAAGACATATTGTGGGAAAATACATGTATCTTTTTGGCACGGTTGTTGCACATTTCTTTTCGTCAATCAAGTTTGTAAGAGGAAACAAACATTTCAAACAGATTAATATTCTGAAAACAGAAACTAATTACACCCACCCTGGTACTCATGTCAAGCCTGGTAATTAGTAATATAAGTTGACAAGGAAATAAATAAAAGCGCGTTCTTAAATGTCCATTAAACAGTGTGAAGATAAGGAGAACAACAAACACATATGTAATTTCCCTTTTTTTGTTCTGTTAAACTTACCTTTACATGAACAGCATAATAACAAAAAGTAAACAACCAACAACTATATCACCAATTTTCCTGGATAAAAAAATGCAACATACATTTCGGGTCTCAATAACATTTCACATAATCACTGTAAAGTTACAAAGGAGTATGGGTAATCAATGCCTTATTTGGCCCAAACATTAGTGCAAATTGAAAAGTTACCATACATGTTCTTAAAATTGTCATAACTTCACTACGATACAAGATGTTCAGAAAATAAAAACCAATTTCATCAAACAATTGACCATGGCAACAAACCATGACGAAATTTGTACATTTGATAAAATTTCTTGTTTTTCCTTTTTTACATCACTTTTTAAGTAGATATTGGATTTGAAAATTATGGGTGCATCCAAGAAACAACTTTCTATTTTGGGAGATTATGTCAGTGGTTATAATTAAGCTTCTCTTAAATTACTTTGTTATTGCTTTGCTGCACACGATGTTTCCACATTTTGTTTTACAGTTTTGTATGAGTTACCTGTCTTGTATCATAAAGTTAATTGTTTTAAAAATGGTTCCCATTTTTTCTATTTTCTCACCTTTTGCAGATAAACTGTAAAAGGTGGAAGATATTTTTTGCAATAATGTATTAATTTTTATTTATCTTTGTAAGTGCTAACTGAACACCAGGTAGCAGTGAGCTAGATCAACAAGAATGAATATCGTACTAATCTCATATATCTTAGACAAAAATCTGGCTTTTGGATATACGGTTTGTCCTTTTTGGTTTTATAAGCTCTTCAAAATTACGATGTTACACAACAAAATTACAAAAAACATTCAATGGTAATGATTTATGCAATGATAAAAGATATATAAAAATACATCATATGTATATTTAAAAAAAAATCATTACAAAAACTATTTTTATCCTTTAACATATGTCTTGACTTTTAAGTTTGTTTGCCGATAAGAAAATAAATTTTACCCATCTGAGAGTGTTGTGCTTCCGGCCTTTGGAAGTGCTGTTTCTGAAAGATATATAGTTAATAACATTATATATATATATGTGTGTATTTGATATTAAAAATTCAATACAAAAAAGAATGATTATATGCTTTTAAATTGCAAACTTGTTTTGTTTTTATGTTTAGTGCGTTGCAATAAAAGATGAAGGGAATTAAAAAACAATCAAACAACACAAAAGAATTAACTGAACAGATTTAACAGAAGCTATAAAGAACTGATATTAATAAATAATTCCTCATTTGAAATGCAACATGTGCAAAAATAAACCCATTAAGATATCACAAAAACAGCAACCTGACAAGACTCCTGATTTAGGAATAGGCCATGAACATGTTGCAGGGTTACATAGTGTATTCTCCTACCTCTCTTTAATCTCGGTTCGTGGAATATCAAGTAAGTACAGAGAACAAAAATAAATACAAATCAGTCCTGAACAAAAACGTAGCTCTTTAATAACGGTATAATAAATAACAAAAGTTTATGTTAATTAATAGCGTACAATACAATATCACAAAATAATCGTAGTTTTACAATCTATATAACAATTTAAAAATTGAAAATTCAAATTCCATCATCATTAACCTTCCTTTATTCTTGTAGAAAGTTTAAGAACAATGTTATTATCGCTCATGCAGATCAGTTATGGTATCAACAATATATTCACTAAAACAAAGTAACTTACCACAATTTGTTCCTGTATAACTCATAGAACATGAACACGCGTAGTGGGTAAGATCAATTTCAGTACAGTTTCCATCATTTTGGCATGGATCAGGGCTGCATGCTAGAAATTAGAATAATGAGCCGATCAATTAATTATTGATTAGATTTTAATGCTGTGTTTTGTATGCTGTTTTTTTTCTTTTGGTATTTTTGTTCTTTTTTTTAGCTTGCGTTGTCAGTTTATATTCAACTTATGAGTTTAAATGCACCTTTGGTATCTTTCGTCTCTCTTTTAAATTTGTTCAAATTTCCTTTCGTTAGTCTCATGCCCATTGATGACAGTGGTCCCATGGAAATCAGAATCAAAATCAGCGTACTCTTTTGGCATTTAAAATTAATGAAAACAGTCCAAAACATCAACTATTTTAAATGTTATATATATAATTATACGGGTAAATGATATCTAGCGCTTGTTCTTATAAATCATGCATATGCATTTGAATATTGTAGTGAACTGAATTCAGTGATATATTGTTTGGGCGAGGTAAGACAATCTTCTTCCAATCAAATAGTAGCTTCTCAATAGTCACGCCTTGGAAAATACTTATATGGGTCATAATTTCTCATTCAGACAGCCAATGTAAGTACTAGTTTTAAGGTTTCTAGGCAAAGCTATGGGAAAAGGGTCACACTCCAGTTTAATTTCCATCTTAGAAAAAGTTACCGGGAACTATCTAAAAGAAGCAAACCTGGTGTGCCTTTGATTTCAAGAGGATTTTTGTAATCATTGTACTTGACCAAGGCACTATCTTTATTTCTTAGACAAGGCATTTTTAATTCCGGAGAATATGTTGAAGATGAAACATAATTTTATTTACAAAATGATAATTAGATTAGCATTCCAATAGGGAGACTATTCAGACCATGCTTGTTTCAACGTTGAGGTTTTCCGTATTTGTGGTGTTCCAAAATCTGATGGTTCAAAGAGATTGATATATCAATTTTCACCAAATAGTTTTAACTGATGTTTGCGAAAAATACGAACGATGTAAAACGACTAAATATTTAGTGTTACATAGATAGTTTTAAAATTGAATGTCATATAGCATTGCTATAACTTAATCTCTTAAAATTCTCATTTTCGCCTAATAAGCGTATGTACAGTGTACAACATAAAATGTAAACGGTCGGAAAAGTTAACGCGGTGTTAACTCGTCTGCACTTCACGTAGCTCATCGTTAACTGTGCATTAACTTTTAAAATTTATAACAATTTTAGGAGACTCAAAAGGTAAACGCGCGCTCACATTGGCTTGTACTTCTGCTTTGACGTGAAAACTGTGCGATTTCTCTTTTTGTTAAAAGTAAACGCTCTCCGTTTGTCATAGTTTCAATTCATTATATATCATGATCAGTGCAATTAAAATAGTCACAATCCATTATACATTAGCATATTAAGAGAGAACAGTCATATATTTATTTATCAAAATGCAGCAAACTACCTTGAAATCCAGTTCTCATCAAAGCAGATAATCAGGCTTTGTTTAGGCGTGAATGTCTTTTTTATCCGTTTATTTAGGCGTAAATATTTTTTCTAGCCGTTTCGTTTCTCGTTTACACATTTGACTCTCGAACACGTACACGCGCGTCTGGTGTACTAAATTATAATCCTGGTACCTTTGATAACTATTTACACTAGTGTCCCCCATTCCAATTTAAAAGACAAATTGAAAGAGTTGGTCATGCTTCATTGCATAAAGATAAATGGCCAACGTAAATATGAGTATCTTGTCTTAAGGAGGGATAAATAGTACTTTGTAAAAAAAAGATACTCTGATTCAAACAAAATATTCTCTGAAACTGACTTTATCAAGATGCTTGATCTTTTTTTACAACATATTTGTTACTTTTGGAGGACGTGTTTTTCAACAAACAATCGGCATTCCAATTGGAACCAATTGTGCTCCTCTTCTTGTCGACTTGTTCCGTTATTCATATGAGGCTGACTTCATACATGTGCTACTAAGGAAGAAAGAAGTTAGCATTTGCCTTTAACTTCCTCTATAAAGAGTATGTCCTCTCACTAAAAAATAGAAGTTTGGAGACTATGTTGAATGCATCTATTCCATCGAACTTGAGATAAAGGATTCAAACGATACAGTTAAGTCCGCCTCGTATGTTGATTTACATCTAGAAATTGACAATTAGGGTCGGTTGAAAACAAAACTTTACTACAGAAGAGATGATTGCAGCTTCCCAATTGTGAATTTTCCACTTCTATGTAGCAACATTCCAGCAACGCGTGCATATGGTATATATCACCAAGTTGATATGATATTCCAGATCTTGCATTTACTTGATTTCCTTGATAGAGGGTTGCTGCTCGCAAGAAAACTATTAAAACAAGAGTTTCAAATGGTGAATTTGAAATCATCCCTTCGTAAATTTTACGGACGCAATCACGAGTTGGTTGACCGTTGTAGAATATCTGTGTGTTTCACACATGACGATTGTCGTAATCACCATCCTGTCCTCTATTCCCAAAGTTGACATACCGAATAAGACTAATCACTGGGTTTATACTAATATGAACAACACGACGGGTGCCACATGTGGAGCAGGATCTGTTTATTCTTCCGGAACACCTGAGATCACCCTCGGTTTTTAATTAAGTACTTGTAATACCTCAGGATCGATTATATTGTATAAAATGGATCATTGCTAAATTTTTTGACGGCTTCTATGAAAAAAAATATAACTAAAATATCGAACTCCAAGGCAAATTCAAGGGGGAAGTCTTTAAAAACTGACAAAATCAGACGCTATCAATCAGCAGAACATATTTCTTACATGGTACAGCCATTTTCCGAAGAAATAGTGAATAAACCATGGTTATACAGCTAGATAAACCTCCTACATGTACGACAGTTGTTGATAGTTCCGTTAAAATTACAAAACCGGGTGAGCAACCCAAACAGACAGAATAGGCCAATGTGACCACAATTGACCACAATTGGGATCCAGCAACCAAAACTGTGTAAACACACATCATAGACATACAACACAACTGATTTAGAAATTAAAGCAAACATAAAGCCTTTGTTAGTCTTGTATTATTTTTAATTTTAGTTTCTTGTGTACAATTTGGAATTTAGTATGGCGTTCATTATCACTGAACTAGTATATATATTTGTTTAGGGGCCAGCTGAAGGACGCCTCCGGGAATTTCTCGCTGCATTGAAGACCTGTTGGTGACCTTCTGCTGTTGTCTGTTCTATGGTCGGGTTGTTGTCTCTTTGACAAATTCCCCATTTCCATTCTCAATTTTACACTCATTAATCTAACGCCAACAAAATAGGTGTAGATCGTAAAAACAGCTTTAGTCGTTGATAGTACATACGTATATACGTATATAGTATACACTTTCTCGATAAGGTAAACATAATGTTAATATTTACGTGAAGGCGCTTATATTTCCTCTTTTTCCAGCATTAAAATTCAATACATTTTCTACCTCAGGACTGCTGCTTCTACACAAAATAACACTTTATAAATGCCACACGTCTGGTTTTATCTTTATGAGGAACGATAATAGCCATATCTATTTAAGATCAACTTTACCTGAAGGATTGGAAACCTTAGTTTCAACATAATTTTTAAATCTATAAAAGGACAATTTTAGAAAAGATTGTTAAAGTTCTTGTTAATACAGAAGTTCCGTTGACTGATCTGATGATCTGATGATACCCTCGGGGACTGATAGTCCACCAGCAGCGGTATCGACCCAGTGTTGTATAAAATGAAATCAACACTTTATAAATTTCACGCGTCCGAAGCGCTTTTACCTTCATTAAGAACGCTCAAAGCCGAATATTGGAAAGGGAAGCGAAGCAGTTGAAATATGTACAAAAGGGTCCATTCATTATAATTATGTTGTCAATGATTCAGTACTGACATGATTTTTAATCCAATGTTCTTAAATTTTCCGTTGATCAATTATGACATTATTAATAAACTGAGGTTCCAACTCCATAAGGCAAAGTTTACCTTAGATGAATTTGGCTATGTTCAGGTCCCTTTAGTTCATATAGCTCTTCGTCTGTTTAGGTTTTATACAAGAGGGACGAAAGATACCAGAGGGACAGTCAAACTTATAGATCGAAAACAAACTGACAACGCCATGGCCATACAACATTGGCTTTCAATTTTTGATAATTTTACCTATTGTGTATGTTTGTTTTGCTCACACATTGTTGTCAATATAATGGAATTCTATACGGCTGTCATACAAGTGAGAGGTTTAGCTAGCTATAAAACCAGGGTTAATCCACCATCTTCTACATAAGGAAATGCCTGTTCCAAGTCAGGAATATGGCAGTTGTTTCCCATTCGTTTGATGTGATTCAGCTTTTTTGATTTTGCCATTTGATAAAGGACTTTCCGTTTTGAATTTTCCTTGGAGTTCGGTATTTTTGTAATTTTACTTTTTTCAAATGTTTGAGTCTCAGCATTCCTGGATGTAAATAAAGAAAAACGCACAAAATTAATTAAAGTTATTTTCATTCAATACACGATTTTTTGCTGACACGATCAATTATTTTTTTATTATTGTTTACTATAAACGTTTGTTAGATGTGGAAATTAAAATAAGCTTAAGTTCAAACATATAGAAATTGAATGATGAAAATATGTTAAAAATGTTGAATTTCACGACAATCGGAAAGCAAATACTTTGATTGAAGTAGTGTGGTTATAAGATCAGTGGGAACATTAATTTGTATGTGCATCTTGTACTGATACGCTCCGATTTCATTCAAAATTTCTAGTATAAAATTAGTCTTAAAATACAGTTCGATTGATTGTGACTCATTTCAAATGCTTAATGTACATTTTGTAAATTTTCAATGGCAGGTGTTTTTTTATATACATCAATTTATGTTTTCTGCAGGGATGAACCGGTTAACAGATTCGATCGAAACTGCATTACGTGTATTATACATGTAGATGGAGATCGATCAAACACAATATGTTTAAAGGCAATAACCAATGTACAACGAGATACTATTATATTTTGTTTGTTTGCTTACGCATTAGCAGAGACGTTTACACTGTCGACGTACCCGGTCTCGCTCCTTTTGGTGTTAAAGTGATTTCCTCAGTTTTTTTTAAATAATTTGTCTCTTCTTAAAATATTTACGAGATTTGAACATCAATAAACTACTGCTGTCTATATTTACAGAACGAGATTTGATATAGTAATTAGGTTGTCCCTTGAATTGTTAAAGAAAAGAAACAGTCTTCAAAAGTTACAGGATTATGTTTTAATGATTGTGATAAAAACAATATAATGCAGGAATGACAGTTACTATGGTTCCAAAAACATGTCGAAATTTTAAATTCTACCTAAATTTGTCGTTTTGCACAACATTTTTTGCAATATTAAGAATGAGCCACACACTTCCCATCGAACAATATTTTACGCACAGCAACATCTTTGTTTCAGACATATTGTGGGAAAATAAATGTATCTTTCGGCACGGTTGTTGCTCATATCTATTTATTTCAAGTCTTGAATTATTGCTCTAAAATCTGCCGGAAAGAGTGTTTACCAAATATACAACTTATTGTTGCATACATGTTTGCAGTATTTTATTTAGAAAAAAGTAACTTAAACAAGAAAATTTAGTTCATTAATTCATAATGTTCACAAATAGTTAACACGAAAAGTAAACAAACGTTTAAGTTCAAGTGCTTCTTAAAAATAAAACATGCGAAATATGTACTAAACGCCCGTTATCTACTTATTAACCGGACACCAAAAAACAAATCGCACGTTATTCAGGTAGACATAAGAAATTTACATTCTGACCTTATAAACTTAAATAAAGTAAACCCTAGTTTACCAGAAATTAACTCACTATAGATACCAGGATTGAAACAACGCCAGACGCGCGTTTCGTCTTAAAAAGACTCATCAGTGACGCTCCAATCGGAACAGTAAGTTAAAAAGGCAAAATATAGTACGAAGTTAAAGAGCATTAAGGACCCAAAATTCGGAAAGGTTTGCCAAATTCAGCTAATGTACTATATTTCTAGGGTAGAAATCCTTAGAATTTCGAAAAATTCAAAGTTTTGGTAACAGTTTATCTATAATTATGACCATATCAATAACAATTAGTCTCAACACAGAAGTGATGACTACTTGGCTGATGATACCCTCAGGAAGGAAACATCCACCAACAGTGACATCGACCCAGGGAATTGGGGGTAAACAAATATATACATGCTGTATATATTTAATTGAAAATATGACATCAAGTCATAAACGGTATTATAGAGTTAAATGCTCTTTTTCTGAAAAATTCTCAAATTATAAATTGATGTAACCTTAAAGCATATACTTACGATCTGGTGATATTCCTCCTCCATAAATGATTTGTGCCAAACTTACGAAGATCATTGTGAAACACAAGATAGCATTGAAAATTTCCATGATTATGATTTGCTTTCTGAATTATTATCCCTTACTTAAAAGAATGTTGATATATGACTATGTTAATATCTTATTTGATTTGTTGTTTACTTGAAGTCAAGTGTGCACCGCGACTTTTAACATTCTTCCGACAATTAAATCATGTCATTTGATACAGTAACACCGATTTTTCATAAACTTAATCATATTTATTTTAAAGGCTAGTATAGTTAACAAAAACAAATAACACACCCCATCTTACCATATACAGTAGTTTCACAATTTCTTGTTTCTGCTACAAATTTATAGAAATCTAGTATATTTAAGTCGTAACCTTGAAATAAATGCAAAGTTTACAGAAAGAAAAAAAATGTTCATTTTTGGGGCAACAATTGGGTCTTCAACCACAGAAGTAAAAAATCAAACGTCTAAAATCATTCAATTTAGAAATTGTCGTCAGACAAGAATTCGATTAAGAAACTGAAAATTGACGTTGGTTTCATGTTTAACTAAAAGGACACACAAGACCTAAGTTTTCACAAATTTCACAACATGTTTTGTTTGTTTGTTTGTTTGTTTTTTTTTTATTTTAAATGTGTTTGTTTGAAATTTAAGAAAATTCTTAAATTCAAGGATTTTGGTGTTTATGACTCCAGAAACTTTTCAACCCTAAAAGCTTTTTTTCTTTGCCATAGAAATTTAACTCCAAAGAATATTACGGAGGTGGTGCGTTTCTTTTTTTGTTGAGTATAGTCATACAGGTGTCCTGATGTTTTAGATATACTTCTTATGTTATATCTGAAGAATTAAACCTCAGACTATTTCTAAATGTTGACAGCCCAAAAAACTACGTCTATTTATCAGTAAAATAAGGGAAAATGAAAATGATGCTTTTTACATATTTTGCTCTAGATACTGTCTTTAGATGATAAAAAATCATCTTTCCAAAATTGATCAAATTCTATGACGGTTTGACAAAGCTATTGATGTCACCTACGACACCGACGACGACGGAATGTAGGTGGCCATGTCTCGTTTTTCGCAAATTTCGTCGTAGGTTCGACAAAAACACAGGTACTGAATATCACCCCCGGTTTTTAGTGGGGTTCGTGTTGCTCAGTCTTAATTTTTCTATGTTATGTTTTGTGTACTGTTGCTTGTCTCTTGGTCTTTTTCTTCATTTGCCATGACGTTGTCAGTTTATTTTTCGACTTATGAGCTTTAATCTCCCTTTTGTATCTTTCACCTTTTATATAAAAAAATATAAAAAATCAAACTCAAAGAACTTAATCCACTGATGTAGAAGTCATAACACATGCATTCAACCACTCTTATACCTGCCGTCTTAGTGGGTTAGGTTACTTTGCTATGTAAAAAAACATATCTGAAATTAAAAAAAAAACATTTTATCAGTCTGATATATTTCAGTGATGTAGATTTTGGTAGTAGATGACTTTATGTTAAAACAAGAATATAAATGGAAAGTGGTGCGTCTTCCCAAATGAAGAAAGCTGAACAAGAATACAACAAGCTTACATGTATAATATTCATTAGAAACAAAGTACTTCAATGCTGTGAATTCATTTCAATCATCTTGCTAAAATCTTATTGTTTTTGTTGATAATTTGTTGCAAACATCAGACGAAATTTGCGAATAAAGGATTAGGTAATAAAATGTCAACGGTCTAAATTATTTCATACAATTCTTCAAGTAAATATGAAAATAGTACAAAGAACATAACATTGGGAATGATCCTGCTTTTTTCATTGAGTGATGATAGTCCCTGAACACATATTTGTCCAACTAGCTCTTGTGATTCTCCTTATAGGATTCCTTTACTTCTAAGAGCTGGCAGACTTTCTGTGAATTCTTGCTTTCTACCAGATTACTCATTTGTCAAGTAGTTAATATTTGAAATAGTGTAGCAAGTACTGCGTGAATATAATGCACAATAACGGAATATCATCGTATTAACATCATACAAAGGCTACAATTGTTATATTATTATTTGCGATACGCCTGAAATGGAATAGAAATTCATTTGATTGGTTGTTATGATTTTGTCACAAGGTTGAGGTTTTCAGATTTCAATACATCAATATTTTAAAAATAACTGTGCAATGTCACTTTTTTTATCTGACGTTTCCGGTATTCAGTTTAACCTGCGACATATTCTGAACGAATAAAATTGATTACTTTTGTTATACAACCTTATGAAGTACTTGAGCTTAACGTGTCGTATACCACTTACTTCAGGTATCATCGTGGTTAAGTTTTACATCCGAGGGTCATATTTCGATACAATACATATACAATGTCGAAAAATGGTAAAATCTGTATGAGCTTTAAAAACAGGAAGAAACGTAAGGCATGTCGAGCTTCATTCCTGTTTCGTAGCGAGTACAATCAAATTATATTTTTCCACCAATATAACTTTATTTTTTTATGTTGCAAGTTAACAGGTAATTTGATTATAATTTTGATATTACCGTTTGATAGAAATAAAGCAGGGTACCAGAAGACATTTTCATACACTTTTTATACCGTTGCCTTTGGTGACTAACTAGGCCGTTGTGACACGTGACTGTAATTGTTAACATAATTGTCTTTGGGTTTAATCTGTAGATACACGTTGTTGTCTCATTGGCTGTCATACTTAAATCTCCGTATGTGAAATCAGAAGATGTGGTATGACTCCCAATAATACAACTATCCACCAGAGATGTAATGGCTTAGATGTTAGTTATTTATGTTCATATGAATAAAAATATATATATACCGTTTTTGCAACAACAAAAATGACTGTTCATGCTACTTTAGATGTGAATTTCATTAAAATGTGCTATATGCATACATGTGTATAAACTTGCAAACTATTAATTCAAAAATATTATTTATTAATTTACGCAGTGTGTTCTTTTGTCCTTTTACATACGATATTCAAGTTAAAGACCTCAAACTACAAAAATAATTTAGCAATATTTGACACGAAAATGGTATTTTTGCTATCAGTTGTAAAAAGGTATCAACTTTTTCCTTTTACAGTATTGGATTAATTAGCATAAACTTTTTTTAGGAGTGTGATTAAAGCGTTGGCTACAGAGATATGTGTATTCCATCTATAAATCGATTACGCTAAACCCTCTAAGTCTCAGACATTTTCCCTTGATCGATGGAGTGATCTAAGTGAGTGGTTTATTACGACTTGATTATTCGAGTTTTACCTCGACAATTTCGTGTGAATATTTAGTGTAAAGTTTCAGATTAACCTGTTAAAAAACACACGGAAAAAACAAAGTTAACTTAAAAAAAAACTAAGGGTACTACATAAGTGGTCATGATACAACACAAGACGTAACAAAACTTAAAATGAACTTATATCTAAACCAGGAAATTTTATATATCTATAATTGACTACTATATGAGGTTCTGGATTGGGTTTTATAGAATAGAGAATAATCGGTAAAAGGGACAGAATAAATGGTTAAAAAATTAAAGAGTAGAGAAAAATAAGTCAAAAGTAAATAATAGAGAATAACGGGGTACTAAAATATAGATTAAAGAGAATAATGGACAAAATACAGAACGAATCATAGAGACAAAAATTATCAATAAAAATAAGAAAAAAAATTAATGAAAAAACCTCCATCCAGATTCTCCTATTTGTACAGTGCAATTAAGGAACCACCTTTAAATCGTAACTCGATTTGAGCTTTTACTCCGAAAAATACCAATAAAATCAGAGTGTCTTGTTGAATGTTTGGCAAATGTTCCTTCTTTCCGTGTACAATTATCTATTTTTATCACTAGTAATTAGGTCTTCCCACTTTTCATGGAAAGAACTTTTGCTTTTGTTCTGATTATTTTTTTTTTCTGCCGTCTGAGATACTTTTTTGTTTTGATTTTAAACATATTTTATTCATTTAGATATGAAAAGGATTGAGCAACAGGCAAGCCTATAAAAGCTCTCTCCATATTACATGTCTAAGGTATATAAGTATAAATCAAATATTAACAACTGTATTCAAAATAATACAATATAGTGGAAAATGCGTGCTACTTATGAGCACACACAAGCAAGTATATATTTACAGTGTTAATTATTAAATGTAAAGTATATTTCAGTATGCAGGCAATTTATCATAATTTTCCAAGTACCTTGAGGCATGTAAATATCTTTTATAAATCATTAGAAATATATATATAAGGTTTGGAAGAGACACTAAGCTTACTTAGTGGAAAAAATGAATTGTTGAAGGAAAAAAGGAAAGAAATGAGAAAATATATACATAAGTAAATAAATAAATAAATAAATAATTGGATAAATAAATAAATTAAATATAAATATACTAAATAAATAAATGATTTGGAAAATACGTTGAAGGTATAAAAAGTCATGAGAATTCTGAATGCAAAATACGTTGAAGGTATAAAAAGTCATGAGAATTCCGAATGCAATTAGGTAAATTTCCATTAATATATACTAAATAAATAAATGATTTGGAAAATACGTTGAGGTATAAAAAGTCATGAGAATTCTGAATGCAAAATACGTTGAAGGTATAAAAAGTCATGAGAATTCCGAATGCAATTAGATAAATTTCCGTTAATATAACATGTTGAACTTGGACCCCGGGTTCAACCGGGGTTAATAAACCAATTGACAAATAGAGATCTCCTTGCGCTCAAATGTAATTCTTAGTGATGTATACTGGCAACTTCTTTTACAGAAATATATACACATTTTATTATTAATATATTGTCATGCTTCTGCATATTCACTTTTGTTTACGCTGAGCTTTAGTTAAATTTAATTCTATACAAATTTTATTACGTCAAGGAATAGGCGTAAGAATATTTTTTCGCGCCTAAATAACCTGCATCACTGCCTGCATCAGTATATTCTATCGTAATCTGTCTGACATTTCATTTAAATAGCGTTTAATAATATAGAGTAATTTTGGTAAGTATTACTTATTAATGTTAAGGTTCTCCAGAGGTGGTTCTCTGGACCTTCTTGACGGTCAGTTTAATCCCATTTATCAATTATCCCCGATGACAGAAATGTTAACCCAGTCGATTTGTGTCACGAGTGAAAATCTTATCTATTTGATGAACTA